ATGCCGGGGCCTTTGCTGGGTGGGGGTCAGCACGGGGCAAGGCCCCACCCCGCACCGTCTCCACAAAGGTCACTGTCTGGCTCCCACTCACTTCTCCAGCTTCTTTTCATCATTGTCTTAATATCACGAAGACACATTACGCACAGTCGAGAAGACGCCCCCTTCAGGAAAGTGAACTCGGTGGGGCTCCAGTTCCATACTCCTCACCCCACCTCTTGTTCCCACCTGTGAACACGAGAGACGTGTGGAGACCAGTCGCCTCACTGCGTGAGCACTCTGAGGTGGCCGTCACAGCAGGTTATAACAGCCTCCACACCAGCCTCGTCATTCTGCCTAGACAGAGCAGAGGCACATGTGGAAATAGGATGGCCAGGGCCTCTGGGGTCCGGCAGAGGGTGGATGCATGCGAGGCAGAAATGCCACCTGCTGGTGGACAAGGGCACGGCAGACAGCAATGGAGCTCACTTGGCAAGGTCTGAGAGCAGGTGATAGGGCCACCCCCCCTTGCTGTCCCTACAGGGGACAGGGGTGGGGGTAGGAGAGTATTTTTTTTTTTCTGTACATTTCCATCATTCCATAAAAGTTGCCTCACGCTCCTTTGCAGTCACCCCCATCGCCCCGTCCCAGGCGAACGCTGGTAGAATGCTTTGGCTGATTCTAGAATTTCATGTATACAGAATTGCATCGTGTCCTCTTTTGGGTCAGGTACAATGTTTCTGATAATGGTTTCCGATTCGATTCACCCAGTGGAGTTGGCTCGTCACAAGGGTGGCTTGAATCACTGGCAGGTGGGGGTGGGAGTGACGGGGAAGAGCCAGGACCTGGGCTCTGGTTATCTGGGTTTGAAACCAGCCCCCCCTACTCCCACCCCCGCCCCCATTACCAGCTGAAGGACCTTCCGAGAGCCGGGGAGCCCTCTGCTTCAGCTCCCTCATCCGTGAAACGAGGATTCACGGTGACCATACTTTTCGACGCTATTTTGCTTCAGATGTGTCTTTTGTAAGCAGCTTATTTTTAAAATTTTTTAAAAGTCAGTCCATGGAGAGATCAGTAAGGAAACAAATATAGCAAAATATTAACTGCAGCATCTCGATAGTGAGCTAGCTTATGGGTGTGAACTGCACGATTCTTTCTGTTTTTCTATATGTTTGAATTTTTTCATAATAAAATGTTGGAAGGGTGAAAAAAATCCTCGTGTGTGTGTGTGTGTGTGTGTGTGTGTGTGTGTGTGTGTGTGTGTACAATCATAAGGGGCCATTCAGAGAATAATGGAGGGGGCCCCAGCCTGGACCCTGGCTCTGCCTTCTAGCCAGGGGTAAATCACTTAAGCTCTCTCATCCTGTTTTCTCTTGGCAGGATGGTGATCGTAACATCCAGCGGTGTCAGGGGTGTTGGCAAGGACCTACCCAGCCCTGGGCCTGGGGCGCTGTAGTTTAAATCGCTGAGTTCATTTTTCTGCCTGAGAACTATGGGGAGTGTTGTGCCGCTGGTCACCAGCAGAAGGCGTACTTGAAGCAAACAAGTGTCCAAAGTTTTCAAACCTGGCTGTCCTTTTGGACTATTTTTTATAATGATGCAAAATTCAGAGGTAAAGCAGGCCTCTTCGATTGACCCTATGGTTCCAGGCATGTAAATGCATTATTGACAACTGCAGCGGCCTCCCGGCTCTGTTTCCCTTCTCGCCTGCGGCCGTCAGCACCATGTAGGACCGCCCTCCCTCCCCATTGCAAGGATCTGCTTCTGTATCTGTGTGTCCCGCTAGACTGTGGAGATCCTAGCACAGCATCCAGGACTTGGAGAGTGCTCAGTGTGCCCTGAATGAACTGACGTCACCTCCCATCCCTAACTTTCTTTCTTGCCGACATGTGGGAGAATTAACATCTGTATAGGCTGTCACTCGTGCATCACCGGTACCTTCCGCAAAGCATGCCTTACTTAGCCCTGGGAACCAATGTTCCTAATGGATTTATCCTGGGAGGCGATGGGACCAGGTGTCCTTCCACATCCCCCTGTGATGGGCTGAATATTGCTCCCCGCAAAAGACATGTTGGAGTCCTAACCCCCAGTACCTCAGACTGTGACCTTATTGGGAAATCAAGTCATCATAGATGTGATTAGTTAAGATAAAAAAAGGTCCTTAGTTTGGCCCCTAATCTGACTGGTGTCCTTATAAAAAGGGGAAATTTGGACACAGACTCACACACAGGGAGAATGCTGCCACGTATAGATGGAGACAGAGCAGAACGATGGGGCCACAAGCCAGGGGACACCTAGGATTGCGACCAAATCACTAGAAGCCAGGGGACAGATTCTCCTTCAGGGCCTCCTAAGGAAGCTGCTCTGTGGATACCTTGATACTCTGGCCTCCAGACTGTGAGGAGCTGGCATTTCTGTCGTTTAAGCCCCCGAGTTTGCAGCAGCCCCAGGAAACTAATACACCCACAACCTGCTTCTCCAAAGGGAGTGTGCTCGTCACTGTCAGTCACTCCAGGAACAGGCTGCTCCTGCTCAAACAGGGACACCCAGGGACAGTTGGCAGCAGTGGCGATGGTATAAATTGCAGGAAAGGCATTTGTGATGGGTAGATACAGATAGACCTTCCCCCTCTGCAGGAGGGCATGTCAGAGTGGGCCCTGTGGAGCTGCTCGGTGGCCTAAAGGCGGCCGGAAGTCACCCCGTGGGCATCCTGGGAGCAGGCCCGGCTGCGAGGGCCTCACCCTCTGCCCGTCAGGAGAGGAGAGAGCCCTGCTCTGCAGAGTTGTCACGAAAGGAGCTTAAACGAAATTGGCTGTTCCAGGCACCTGGTGACAGCCTCGCACATACTAGGAGTGAGCAGCTCGGCTTGCCGCCCCCTCCCTGGCATGACGTCGTGACTCCTGCTTCAGCTGCAGCACGGGGCAGCCCTCGCCCGGCCCCACCTCCAGTAGGGGTCCCCTGGGCCTTCGTTTATGTCACTAGAGAGTCCAGCTGGGAAAGCCGCCAGTGCTCAGGCTAGGGTTAACTTCCGTCCGTGGAGGGGCTGAGCATAGGAAGAACAAGGGCCGCGTTTAGACGGGGAAGGTGCGCTAAGTGCTGCCATTTGTCACTGGCCCTGTGCATGTGGCCCCTCAAGAAACCCACGTGGAGAAGGAAGAGGTAGCTGGGCAGGAGCCAGTCACCTTGGGCCTCCGAGCTAGAGACCCCGTTTTTGCAGACAAACACCCCCCGAGTAAAACGCCACCCCTCTCCTCCCCTCTGGAAAATTCCAAGTCATTCTGCAAGACTAGCAGACTGCTAGTTGTCCCCAGTATGTATCCTTCCATCTTTTCTGCTCTTGCCCGTTCACGTGGTTAGCCAGCTCAGTTTCCCAGCCTCCACTGCAGCTAGGCATGGTCATGTGACCCAGTTCTGGCCAGTGCTCTGTCCGTGAAGGCATGGACCGTGCTGCTGTCCCCTTTTACTCCTCCCTGCTGGCCCGAATGTGACGTGACATGATGAGGAGGGGAGACTGGGGCAGCATTCCTGAAACCACGAGATGAAGATACAGAGCACGTGGTAGCACTGCTCATCCGGGAAATTTACAAGAACAAGAAATAAACTTCTGCTTCGATGAAGCCACCCTTGTTTTGGGTCTCCGATGCCAGCCTCCCTGGGTTCAAGCCCAGGTCCACCACTGCCTGTCAGCGTGATCTTAGGAAAGTCACTTAACCCGTCTGTCTCAGGCTCCTCACGTGGACCTTGTGAGTTCGCAGCACCGGCTCATGGGGGGGAGTTAGTTAATGGCATGGGAGGTGTTTAGAACGTGCCCTGCACACAGCTGGCAGCCGAACCTGGAGTCTAAGTAACACATGGGCCCAGCTCGGTTGTCACGTCCTCCCCAGGGTAGACCTGGGCTCATGTCTGTTCCATCCCGCACCCACAGCACCCAGGACTGTTCTGGAGACCTTCTCTGAGCTTCCCTGAACAGAAACTGATGCTCTTCATAGAAACACGAGGGATGGATTCAATAAATGTTTTGTCCACAGCAGGAAAATAAAGTTGGCGGGCACTTCTGGCCCAGGGAGTATATATTTTTAAAATAAATGTGACTCTTCAAAGTGATCACATTTTATACATAAACGATTCAGAGGGGAAGGAGGTGTCTTTTCCATTATCGACTTCTTGTATTAAATTGTGCGAAATATTCTTCGGTGGGATGGTTTGTATAGACTTCCTTCATGTATTTTTTCCTGGCAATAAAACAAGGAGAGAAACCATCAGCAAACGTCTGAAATATATACAAGAAAGAGCCCACATTTGCTCACATCATTTGATTTCTGTGAGACTATCCATTAATTGCTTCTTTTAGGCCCCCAAGAGAAGTGACCGAATGACCAGTACACAGATGTCTGACTGGAGAAAATACCAGTGGGTGCCTTCTGAGTTCAAGCCAAGAGCTTGATGGATAGATAGGTAACCAAGTGAGCAGATAATTCGTTTTTAGGGACAAGTTCACTGCCTTTGACATTTTTGGAGCTGGAACTCCGAGCTCCTGGCCTGTCTGTAATGAGGAAGAGACTCCAGGCCGGTCATTGGCAGCCCAGGAGCCCCTTCCTCTGCCTCGAGAGCCCTCCCTGCAGTGGGCAGCTGGCACCGTCCCCCCCACACACACACCTTGGGCCCACCCGGCACCCCCCTGGGCCCCAGTGCCCTCTGTGGACTCTGTCACTAGGACCTGTGTCTGAGCCGCTGTGCCCAGGGGAGGACTGCCCAGGGAGGGGTGTTTACAGGATGATGGCAAGACAGAATCTCAGTCACTGGTCCATGGGGGACCAGTGGTTTCCAAGCCCTTAATTTCTGGCTTCTTAGCTCTTGTCCCTCCTCCTTTTCTGTTTGCAACCTTAACCGGGACGCTGTGCCCTGGCCCAGACCACTTCCTCTATGGCGCTGCTGGTTAACTATGCACCAAGAGTCCTGGGCCCTTTGGGTGGGGAAGATTTGGGGACGGGGGCCAGGGGAGCCTGCTCTCTAGGCCCTGCACAATCAGCTCCCCATCACTCCCCCCCGCCTGCATCCCCCCTTGACCCTGACGCCCCCCAGCTCCCCCGTCCAAGCCCTCGCCCACTCACTGCAGAAGCTGCTCCTTGGCCAGGCCCAGGTTGCTGCCGTCCAGGGCCCTGCGCAGCTCACGCTGCTGCCGCCGCCCCTGCCGCTCCAACAGCAGAGTGGCGCGAGCCTGCTCAACCCTCTGCCGGTCCCAGAGCCGGTCCCGCAGGCACTCTTCTTCCTGCAGCCTCTGGAGGAGGGAGAGGTGACTCGCCACCGCCTGGCTCTTGTTGTTTTACAGGTGGGGAAACTGAGGCTCAGAGAGGCGGCGGGTACTGAGCGACTTCATGCAGGAAATCAGAGGTGGCTTTGGGACACCACCGGTGGGCAGGGTGCTCCTGCTGGCTGCTCACTGGGATCACCTGGTGGCTTCTACAATGTGCTGACGCTGCAGCCCCACCCAGGGACAATGGGCTCATGGTCTGGGGTGAGTTTCTGCATCTCAGCTCAGTCCTCACTGCCTTCCAGACCATTCTATAAAAACCACTGAGCCCTCGGAGAGAAAACTGGATTAATGTAGAGGGGAGGGGTCGCCCCCCAAATATAGGCAGTTTTATCAGCTGTCCAGAGCGTGAGTGACTTTGCCAGCTCACCCTCCCCCAAAAGCCAAAGGGAGAAGCTCTCCTTTCACTGCATAGGCTTCGGGGCGGGGCTTCCCCCCATCACATGGGCAGGCCTGGGACAGCCCACCGCCACCGGGGCACACAGGCTGGTAGGACCGACAGGCAGGCTGGTGCCTGGCTGTGCCACCTACAGGGCACGTGACATTGCCCCTCCGAACCTCAGTCTTCTCACCTGTAAGATGAGGCTACTCGCAGGTGCCCTGAGTCGGGACATGAGATGCCTTCATCGAGAATCCAAATGATATGGGGACCTACTCGCCTTAGGCTAAGAGAAGACAACCCAACTATTCTTTGCATGATCTCAGTTTCCCCAGGTATCCCCGTGCTCAGAAGAGGAGGCGCGTGGGGGGAGGGGCGGCATTCTGAGTGCTGAGCCTTAATGTGGGTTGTTTTTCCCTTGGTGCTTTTCTTAGTTTTCAACAAAGATTGGATATTTTTGAAGACAAAAAATGCTGCTTTCAGGACAGCTGCCCTGCCTGGTCCCCACCAGATGGTTGGGCCAAAATGCAGTAGTGACGGACAGAGCAGGCCCTGTAAAGCCCCTCTGGGCCTGGACATGAGCGGGCGGGCGAGCTGTCCCCTCTGCCCCTCATTTCCTGGTCCAGGTCACTGCCCCTCCCGCAGGACCTGCCTGCTTAGAGGCTCATGGGGACCCCAGCACCGCCCCCCTCCCCCAACCTTGGCAGTCCTCTGCCCACCCTGGGGCAGCCCCGCCCGTTCTGCTCACTGCAGGTCTGAAAGAGTCTCCACAGCTCTCTCCGCGTAATTCTGCGTGATTTCTACCCACACTGCAACCCTTCCCCTCCCAGGCCTCTCCGCGATCCCACCGCCCCTCCAAAGACCGCTGGGTCCCACAGGTCAGCTCTCACGCCCTGCCTGGGTTCTCAAACTCCAGCGGGCATCAGAACGCCTCGTGGGGGGAGCGCGCTGAGCCACGCACGGGTCACAGGCCCCAGCCCAGGGCTTCCGGTTCTGAGGGCCTGGGCTGGGGCCTGAGACTCTGCATTCCTCTCAAGTCCCTAGACGTCCACGCTGCTGGCCCAGAGACCCGCTGTGCTCCCCTCTGCCCTCCCCTCGGCAGAGCCAGTAATGCCGGCCCCTAGTCTCACCGTCGAGTCCCACTCTCCACCATGCCGTCCTCCCTGCCTTTTCCACTCCCGCGCCGGCCCCAACATTCCAGCCCCGTGGCCCCCAGTCCACTGACTGCACACTTCCCGTTGTCCCTTGTGCTCCTTGTACCGTCATCTCCCTCCTCGTTCATCCCAGCGTCCCTGGCTGACACCCTGGCAGTCACTTCGGTGCCCTTGAGCCTCTCGCTTGGTCAGACTGGCCGGCAAGCCCTGACCACGGTGGATCCCGACTCTCCCCTTACAGCCGAGCGTGGCTCTGCTCACTGGGGACATTTCAAGTTCATGACCTTGAGCTCTGGGGACCCCGGCCCTGCCTGGCCATCCTGCTCCCTTCCCCTAGGCTTTTCCCTTCCAGCACCTTGCTCTCCGTCCGCAAATCCTCACCCTCGACTGCTGCCCCTCCCCTTCCTGTT